AAGTGTTCTCTGGGTTGTACACATCGCCTCTCTCTTCAGAGACTAAAACTAAAATATAGACGAAACCAATTGCAGCAGGAGGTAAAGTTTTCCTGGTTTCTTGTTTTACTTTCCCATTGATCCTGAAGATGGCGCGCAGTATGTTCCTGTAACCTAATTATACGGAGTCACAAACCAGGACTTACTCTGACATTCCCAGAAACCCAGTAGTCCCACGAATCGTTATAGCACACAGCCATGCAGTTCTATAAACTGCCTATTACAGATCCCGACTGCGCTCCAGCTGCCAGATATAACTACAAAGTCTCATATTTTGTTTGTAATTCCTGAAATATAAGCTTTATTTCTTATATAACACGAGGTTTTTGGTATGCCTACAGTCCAACTTCATATGAACTTGCACATTTCTACTTCGAAAGGCTCATGAGCTGTAGCAGTCAAACTGAAAACTAAATATATTGTGACATGTAGACCCATTTCTAAGCAAAGCCCGAAATAAGTGCATGCAACAACAGAAAAAGTACTTAAGGAAGTGTTTTCTATGTGTTCCGCGCCATTCTCAGTACCGGGTAACGGGCCAATGAACAAGCATTCTGACATGTGACACGTGTTTTCGTGAGGTCCGGCCCGAGTCTACATAAAGAGAGTCTGTTTCTAGCTAGGGAGATTAGAAAATTAGAATTAGAGAACTGGGTCGATTTCTGGAGGGTCGGCATACCAAAGTGATTGAACAAGAAATGACAAGAACACTTCATAGTGACTTGAGGTGGTAGTTAGTGTGATAAGTCCGTTGCCAGGAAACGGATAGTGTGTCCTAGTAATTTGTGAAGTGAGTAGATGATTGATTGTGATTAAGAGAGATTGTAAAAGAAGTGGTCAATAAATCCAGTCATTCAATTCAGAACCAGTTATTATTAGTCACGGAACACCGGGCACGTGACAATAAATTTTGCTAGTCTGCTATGTTTCACGAAGATATGACTTTAACAATAGACATGCGTCGTATCGAAGCTCTCACTCACTCATGGAGCTGAGCCCTTCTTGAGAATCCGCCAATTGTGCAGCTACTCAAAAAGTTCCCAGCATTTTATGGAACCCGAAGGTTCATTACCGTGTTCACAAGAGCCGTCCACCGGTCCCAATCCTGAGACAGATAAATCTAATCCATACCATCCCATCCTATCTCTCTTAGATCCATTTTAATATTGTCAACCCACCCTCTATTAAGTGCAACAGTGTTTTTTCACTTTAAATTTTAGGCGGCCGCCATATTGGTATTACCTAGATTAGGAAATTAAAGAAGTATAAAGCGCGGTGTGGTCCCTATTTGTCCCTTGTGAAGGTTCCTGATTTTCTTTTGTTGGCTGAAAAATAGTAAAAACCCGCACGGACATTTCCAACTATAAATAGGCGTGTGTTTTTTTTTCATAATTAAAAACTAAATTAAGTTGTTTCTGACATTCGTCGACAATCGAAGCCTAGACATCCCATATATGACACAGGAATGCTAACAACTCAAATGCGATGTTTTATGGCAGGGAAGTACAATTTCAATTTTTGTTTTCCTTGGCACTATAGCCCCAGTGGGCCTAGGCCTACCTCCATGAACTTCTCCGTTCACTTCGGGTTTTCTAGATCTTACACATTCGGTAGGACTCCTTGGGCGGGTGATCAGCTCGTCGCAAGTCCTCTACCTGTACACAAACACAGAAAAACGCACACACACAAACTAAACATCCTTGCCCTGAGTGGGATTCGAACCCACGATCCCGGTTTCCAAGCGAGAGAAGACAGTGCACGCCTTAGACCGCTCAGCTACCGTGACCGGCACCATTTCAATTTAACTGTAATAAACGGCATGGCGATAAGCTCTACTAGTTTATTTTTCAGTTTCTTGGGATGGGGTGAGTCCACTTGGTATATCTGCCACTAACTGACCTGTTGTACCAGCCCCGGATGAGAGGTGATGAGTGTGTAACAGTTCGTGGAATAAGAATTGCAAGAGGAAACCGAAGTACTCAAAGGCAAGCAGCCCCAGTGTCACTTTTTCCACCACAAATCCCACATTATATGACGCGGGCTCGAACTTGGACCGCAGTGGAATGAAGCAGGCAACTAACCGCCTGAGCTATATTACGGCCTAAGTTCTACTATCTGTTCATATTTTGTTTAAAATAAAAGCAGTTTCTGTATTTCCTGAGCATGGCGACAGACACACACCTCTCTAGCTCAGAGCCTGGAATACGTCCGAACAAAACGCTACCTATCAGGACTGAGCCAATGTTAATGACTGATAATACCCAAAGTAGCCGCTTGGAGGAGCTGCTAAAGCTTTTGCCACCTTTGGCCGAATATAGAAACCAATTTATCTGCGACGTAAAGATTACACTCCCTGCAAGAGGAAGACGCCATACATAGAACTGCTGGCGAACAGGATGAGGTAAATATTTGAACTGGGACATGAAGGAGAGGTAGATTACAATTGAATTTCAAATAAAGGTCATATTTGTCGAGGTTTATCTCTTGAGACACACTAAACCGGGAGAAAGAATTTATAACTTACAGCGTAAAATTTACACACTTGGTAACAAGAATCATTAAATAAGCATTTCACTTATATAGGCATATTCTTTCTCATAAGAGCGCGGGTTATAATTCACGAGGTCAATTTCTTTTGTACAAATTAAAAATAATACGTATTTCAATCAAATTTAGCTCATACAAAGCAAATTCCTCTTAGATCTGAGGTTCTCAGAGCCGTGGTTATGAACATTCCTATATTTTGGGATATAACTCCATGTAGTTCAGTGAAAGTCAAACTACGTTTCGGAGGAATATATCACCCCCATCTTCAGTACTGATTAGTGTGTTACAAAAGAGATCAGCACGAAACAGGCAGAAAATTCTTCAAGCTCCTGCCTGATTAATGTTAGTTTGCTGCTCTGTTTATTTTCGACCCTGAAGATGGAAGCGGCATGTTATTCTGAAACGTCTGTTGACTTTCAATGGACTACACGGTATTATCGGAAAACTCTTCATAACCACCGCTGAGAGAAGCTAACATCCTACAAATTACTTATTTAACTTTGTGTCGTGACAGTTTTCAAATGACCCAAAAGTATTCAGTCCGTAATAAAGTAAGTTAAATGTATGGTATGTTGTATCCATCTTCATTCATATCATATTGTCACGTGTTCGGGGTTCCGTGACTAATAATACCGGGTTCTGGATTGGATGACTGGATTTATTAACACTTTCTTGTACAGTCTCTTCTTAATCACAATCAGTGTCCAGCGGAACCCTACTTCCTTCACTGCCGAGGACCCGCTCTGTGGTTCTCATTCTACGACTGACTGCTCCTACCACTCCAGTTTACTTGGAATAGCCTCCGGGCGGACCTCACGGAAAACATGTGTCACGTATCAAGAATGCGTGTTTATTGGCCCGTTACCTAGCACTGGGCATGGCGCAGAACACATAGAAACCAGCTCTTCTGTTGTCAGAATTCCTGTTTGAGAAAGAAAGAGAAAGAAAGAGAGAAAGAGCATCGATTATAAGAAGGTCCCCAGTCTTTGCCCGCTCGTCCTTCTGGTAAGAGTAAAGTGAAAGTGTAGGCGTTAAGATGATTAGAAGCAACGACTTGATAGAGTTGAGAGAGAGGGGCCGCGGAGCTTTTAATTTAAAAAATTAGAGTTTACGTGTATAATTTTGGTAATTTTGACAGCAAGGGACCGTAATTTTGATGAATTTAAATCGGGAGGGCTGCATGAGAAGCATAGAATTCCTGTTTATTGGCCCATTACTTAGCATTGGGCATGGCGCGGACCACACAGAAAACACTTATTCTATTGTTGCGTACTCATATTTCAGCTGTTGCCCAGAAATGGGTCTATATGTCACAATATGGACATGTTTACATTTTTAAAATATTTCAAAGAATTCAACATGAATCGAAAGGATTCGTTTCATTTTTGGCACAATTTATAAATTAAGAAGAGTTGTCTACATTGAACTGGACGAGAAAGTAAAGCATAATGAATTGTGTTGTTTCATATTTCCCGGATGATCGCACCAGTCCCCCCACCCACCAATCGCCTACCTAATGGAGGTCCACAGGATACGTTGTGTATATGCCACAAATCGGCTTGTATATTCGACCTGAAATCAAATGGAAAATGTCAGA